CCTGCCATTCTTTACTGGGTGGAACTTTCGGGTGGCTTCAAAAACGACAATCTCTCAAAATAATATGAGAAAGCAAGTCTTCCTCTTCCGAATGATTTCTCTTCTTTTCTTTGGTGCGAAACCTATGGAACAGCCTCCTAATTTCAGATGTTCTTTTTTTCTTAATATTATTCTATTATACAGAGGTCAAAACAGCAACTGTTTGTTGTTCCGAGCCAACTACTCAATCGTGAACACATCGAACATTGACCACGCCTACCCACGCACGGTAGTCATACCCTGCTACCGGCTCTACCTCCTTTTCGCCTCGTCGATTGTCGGATCTAGCTCGAAAATGGAGTGAAACAAGCTTCGATATTCCTCTACTCGACTGTATAAAATCAGAATCAATTTTGATCAATGTTTAATTAAAAGCTGAAGTGATCGCTATGTTTTTGCTACTGTTCTGGCTCACTGAGCCTATTCGTGGTGCAGTGTTTCCTCCACTTATTGAGGATTCCTGTGGTGTGCGGCCACAAAATTGTAATTTACTATGTATAAATGGATATCAACGCCAGAACAATGAGGAATGTGCATGTGAATGTGCTGCGGATCCTTGTCAGGTCGGTTATAGTAGTTAGTTGCGTTGCAAATTTTGAAATTTTTTCTTAAGTTCAAACTTTGTGCTATTGGCGAGCATTGCACTGTTATTGGAGGTGTTGCTGGATGTATCTCTAATACAGGTGATTCATAATTTAGTATTTTAGAACTTGCATAAAAAACTGCATTTTGCAATTCTCTGTATCGTTTCTTGAACTCGAAAATTCCTTTCTTGCTGTTATCATTTGAAAGACAGTCTTGATAGAGACAAGCGTAGCCCATAGAGATCACATAAATACTATTCTAATTATCAAACCAAATTCAGTTTTTCTCTTTCTATCCGATTTTGAAGCACAGCCACACCTTTCTCTACTTCATCCTCCTCCTTATTTCACCTAATCAAGAATAGTGCATCCTTGAATTTATTCGTCCACACTTTCTACGCCCTTGAAAAAGTCAATTCTCCATTCCACAGAAGCCATTTTTCCCTTGTTTTCGTGGCTGACATCCTCCTCAAATATATCGTTTGAGTTTGAACGTTGATTTGGAGAATTTTACTAGAGGACATAGAAACACGAAATTTTTTGCAATCACCATATTTTTGCTGTCCATTTTTTCATTATCATGATTCTTGGAAACAAAATTGAAAT